CGACCCCGCCCCCACCAATCAATCAATCAATCAATCAATCAATCAATCAATCAATCAATCAACAACTGCCATTTCGTCAAAATGGACATCTTCTATTTTTTGAACGAAATTGAAACTGAGTTTTTTGGCCGAAAACTCGTCAAAAATTGTTGTTCCTGAGGGACCCCCTGGCTGTACATGGACCTAGCTTGAGACCAGGTACCTCCAAGCAGTCCTACCTGGAGGTGCCTGGTCTCAAGCTAGATCCATCTAGAGCCAGGGGGTCCAGCGTTTGTAAAACGCTGAATCCTCAGGAACAGCAATTTTTTTCGAGTTTTCGGCCAAAAAACTCTGTTTCAATTTCGTTCAAAAAATAAAAAATGTCCATTTTGACGAAATGGTCGTTCAACGAAGAAAAAAAAAACAAAATCAAATAAATCTTCTGCTAGAACATGGAAATATACAATTCTACCTGTGTGTGTGTCCGTGTGTGTGTGCGCCTGTGGGGCCAATCAATCAATCAATCAATCAATCAATCAATCAATCAATCAATCAACGAAGAACCTTCACTCACCCAACCCGCCCCCAAAAAAAAATATTTTATTTTTTATTTTTTTTGTTTGAGGGGGTGGGGCTGGGGTTGCGCTGCCCCATGGCGCTTCCCAAATCCCAAACCCAACTCCCCACTGGTCACCATGCAGCCGCAAAGTTGCGCGGCCGCGCGGACACGTCCACGGGGTCGCGGATTTGGCCGCGGCCACGGACTTTGTCGCGCTTGGCCGCCACCGGGGGGGATTCGTAGCCAAGTACTGGTGGTTAAATTGTGAGAGAGAGCTATGCTTGAAGGGGTCCCCTGCACAGGCTTATGAGTAGTGGTAGGTTGATAGTGAGAGGTGAAATTGAGAGAAGAATAGAGCGTAGTTTTTTTTTGTTTTTTTTTTTTCAAAAGAAGATTAGGAAAACGAACAAAAAAATCAGCATGGCAAGTGTGTGAGGATGACAATTGCAAATTGACAAATGCTCCAGAGTAAGGTTGTGGGTTCAATCCCTAGCTTCCTGGGGCACACGTGATGCCAACTACCTAAGAGATAGTCAGCTTGATTTCCATGGTTGGTACTCGATGGGTATTTAGCCAACACGTGTAAGAGGGTGTTGGCCTTCGACAGTGTTGTTACTTTATTGGGGGTGGGGGAAGATGGAAATGGAGGAGCAGCTACTCGCAAAATGTCGGGCCAGCACCCTATTCCCTAACAATACCTGTTGGGGCAGGGGGCAATATGCAACCCTTTCATTTGGAGGTACCTATTTGTGGTTGTTCCCTGTATAACCGTAGGAGAAGTGGTAGATAGGTAGTGAAAGGTGAATTTGAAAGAATCTAAGAGAAGAATATAACATAGTTGAAAAAGAAAAAGCAAAAGGAAAGGAGGCAAAAAAGGGTCATTCCTAAGAGTATATACTATACGGCTTGTCCTGTCTAACTACTTAGCCAAAGCCTACGATCCGTCTATTCGTCGGCGGTGGACTTCAATTAGGATTTGGGATGCTAAATATAGCACTCCTTCCTCCCTATGTCCACCTATGGGAAAACACTCTCCCTGCCTGCCCAATGGGTTATAGTCAGCAGATGGAGAGGTCACTTTTCGTTGGGTTGTTCAACTTTGTGGGCCATGTTGGCTTTTTTTTTTGTGGTTGGAAGATCAGTTTCCCCCTTTTTTCTTCTTATTGATTTGTTCGGTTTTGCAAGACATGTTGACACTTTCTTTCCTAGGGTTGCGGATTAGTTAGGGCAACGATCTAGTTTTGGTCACTTCTGCCTTTGGATGTGACACTCAACATCACCGCCTGCACAAATTTCCTGTTGGAGTGGCTAAACTGCGAAAGGACGCCTAAAAAGTGGCAAAACGTGGTAAGCGGAGGATTTTTGACAAATTGAGTGTGGAGGCCCAGGCAGTACTGAAATGTCATGTGTGGTCCCAGATAAGGAGCGACCAGCAAAGCGTGAAAAGATGAAATTAGTCGTTCCCCAATGATTACCTAATCCAATACGTATCTTTGAACTTCGTTGCACACAACGCAATGTTTTTTTCCGGGTGGAAAGGGAGGGCATAAAGTCTCGTTCTCAAAGGAGAAATTGACGACGTTTTTCGCAGAGCTTGAAATACGAGTCAGGGGTTGCAGCCTCACTGCTTTCTCCTTAAACTCCTCTTCGCTATGTATCAGGTTGTTCAATCCTAAGGGCAGGAAGCGCTTCATGCGACGATGATCTCTGCACAACGTGCGAGGTCAAAAGAGACAATCAACTCGTTGAAAGGAAGCAAAACAGAGTAGGGAGTAAAATGAGTATCAACAATCACAAAACTCAAATTCACAAACCTCGAACACCGTGTTATGTTGATAAGGGCCTCTGATATTGGTAACGCCTTATCGTACATCCATCGTGCCGACATGTGTCTTGTCCTCGTTGTACAGAAAAAGTTTTGCAGACTCAGTCTACATGACCAATACATACAAGTACACCGATCACAAAATAAAGCAATCAACCCCTATTAACTTCGGGAATTGCCTTCACCGAGGAGGTCAGGCAATAGGATGTGACTTTCATGCCTGGTGTTCTTTCATGGAGGACGATTACACAAGAAACTAATAGATGATTTCTTGAAGAAGTTTCCTAGCAGGTAATTAAGAGTTCTCCAAAAAAAGGGACATAAACGGGGACAAGTTCCAAGTGACAGCATCATAAAAAAATACTCGGATCCAAACATTGGATGTGCATTCCTCTTGAAGGCGGCAAGGAAAGCAAAGGTCCTCACAAGTTGAGCAACTTTCCAAAATGTGCCCATTTCAAAACCCTTCGATCACGTCCATAGACAGGTCATAATTTTAATCATAGAAGGATGCATTATTTCAAAAATGAAAACGAAAAAGACGCAATTAACCGACTAGAGTGTTTGGGGCCCGTAAAGCACATAGACGTGATCATTCCCCTCGTTACTTTCTCCTTGCCAGTAAAATATTATAATGAGAGAGACGCTCACTGTGACGGGGCAAGAGAAAACCGAAATCATCCATCTATCCTCGATACATCACCCTCATTCTTAAAAAAAAGGGAGAAAGAGCATATATACTAGCATTA